GCATGATAGTCCAGACAATTCTCTCAGAGCTCTCAGACCTGCAAGCATATGTCTCTGTATTTAAACTTGAACCTCATCCAAGCCCCAAAGTTACTATTGAGTAAAATTCTCTTCCTGGTTTATCTAGGTCTCAGGAAATGTTCCCCTTTGGCACTACAGCTGTGAATCATAAACTCTTATTCATGCCATCCAAGACAGAGAAATGGGACACCCAACACGATTGTGTTCCTACAAAACAATGGCAATTGTGTTACTACTCACCAACAGTCAGTTTATCGTGTACAATGTAAGTGCTTTGGTGAAAGTTAAGTGACAGGAAATAGCAGTGAGCTCTGCGCTGCCCTATCTGCCACATGCGGGTCACGGACGCCCCCTGGCACTCTCTCCAGCCAAAGCGAACCGCGCTTTCCTGTACAAGAATTTCCTAGGCTCTCTTGCCTTGAAGTCTTTCCCTCATTTCTCATGTAGAAAGCCTTTTGTACCCAATCTCCACCTTTCTAAATCCTTCTAGTTCAAGCTCAAAAGCCACATTCTAAATCAAGCTTTTCTTCGTCATCTGAGTTGAAATACATTCATATCTCCCTATGATCTGTATTAATTAGCTATTACTGCAGAACAAAAATCACCCCCAAAACTTAAAGGCCTAAAACAGCATTTGTTTTCTAGCCACGGTGTGGGTTGGCAGTTGGGCAGGGTTCGCTGCAAAGGGTTTGCTTATCTGCTTGCGTTGCATTGGGGGGCTGGCTGGAGGCTGGTGGGCTTGCTGAGAGCGGCCTTTCTCACAGGCCTGAGCCCTGGCTGTGTTGCTCGGGGTGGCTGAGTAGCTGGGTCTCTCTCCTCACCAACAGAGAGCACAGAGTTGTGACGCTGTTGCAGAACATCCTTTGGCCTCACTTTATTGGTCAAGGAAAGTCACAAGACCAACTCAGATACAAAGGGTGAGGATGTTAAAATAAATCTCCAACGAATTCTTTTACAGATATGTTGTTACTATTTAATGTTTTCACATATTGTTTTTTAATCTTCTTCAAAGTTGTAATTTATGATTAGGAAATTTGAAATTGTGAACATCTTCAATTGAGTCTTCTCTGTAAACAATATTTTTAAAATTTTTAAGTTGGCCTAATTTTAGACTTAAAGTTGCAAAAAAAAAATACAGATAGTTTTCAAATATTCCTCACTCAGCTTTCTCAATGCTAAAATCTAATATAACCATGATACAATTATTAGAAAAAGAAAATTCTCTTTGATGCAAGGCTATTAAAGAAATGAAACACTGGGCCGGGCGTGGTGGCTCACGCCTGTAATCCTAGCTCTCTGGGAGGCCGAGGCGGGCGGATTGCTAGAGGTCAGGAGTTCGAAACCAGCCTGAGCAAGAGCGAGACCCCGTCTCTACTATAAATAGAAAGAAACTAATTGGCCAACTAATATATATAGAAAAAATTAGCCGGGCATGGTGGCGCATGCCTGCAGTCCCAGCTACTCAGGAGGCTGAGGCAGCAGGATTGTTTGAGCCCAGGAGACTGAGGTTGCTGTGAGCTAGGCTGACGCCACAGCACTCACTCTAGCCTGGACAACAAAGCGAGACTCTGTCTCAAAAAAAAAAAAAGAAAAGAAATGAAACACCGTATGTGGATTTCAGTACTAATGCTCTTTTACCATTCTAGAATGTATCCAGGCTCCCACTGGCGTTCGCTACTCTGCCTTAGTTTCCCCATGTCTGTAACAGTTCATTATCCTTATCCTTTATGACCTCGATACTTCAGAAGAGTATTGATCAGTTACTTTGTCAGGTGTTCTTATTTGAATTTGTCTAATGATGTCTAACATTTTCTTATGATTGATCACGATTACATATATTTTGAGCAAGAATATTACAGACACAATGTCCCTCTCATGTATGAAGTTCACGACATGAGTGTGTGTTCTTCCCTGGGTTTGTTGACATTGATCACTTGGTTGAGGTGGTCTCTGCTGGGTTTCTCACTGCGAAGTTATCGTCTTTCCCTTTGAGGTTTGTAATTATTTACAGAAAAATTTTGAGACTATGACAGGTAGATTTCTCTTCTTTCACCCACGGACCCTAGCGTCAATCAGTAGATTTTGTCTGCAACAGTTACAAACATGGTGTTTGCCTATTGGTGATTTTTCTATTTTTCTCTGAATTATTTGTTGAATCTGCTATAAGGAAGAGCTGTCTTTTCTCCCAGTTTATTTGTATCTGTGTGGACTTGTTGATGTTTATTTTATTCTGTGGGTTATAATTCAATACTAGCATTATTTATTTTGCTGCTCAAATTTGTGAACCATAATAGTTTAAATTGAAAAATACTTTTTCTATAGGCAGAGAGGCACTTAATAAGCTCAGAGAAAATTCTGATAAATGGAAGATATTAAAATTCTAATTATATACTCAGGGTTCACCACGTGTCACAGTGAGAACTCTGCTAATGCACACACATGCCTTACACCCTGTTATATCAGACCACGTCAGAAATTGAAGTGCAACGTAAAGGTCCTTATCAAACCTCTTGTGGCTCATCTAATAATAATGACATTCCTTTAAAAAGGAAAAATCCAGGGCAAATGCTAAACTAGACAGAATGTTTGCACAATAGGCTAAAGCCAGTGTGTTCTAGACCAACGAGGCTATATGGTCACCTAAACCTGGAATGGTCTCTCACTTCAGCCCATGAACCAACCATTAAATCTGGTTTATGCTTTTTTCCACATTTCTCTTGAAATGAACTTTTATTTTCTACTCTCACTGTATCTCCCTGAGCCTAGATGCTTGTTACCACATGGCTGTATTATTTATAACAAGCCATTTACTACACTAGGACTTAATTTCTTCTTCTATCCATTCTCTTCATATCTCCCACATTTTTCTCCAGACTCTTTTGTGTCTCACCACGCCCTTGCCAAAAAAATCTTTTAATGGCTTCTTATTACCTGTACAGTAAATTCCAAACTTCCATTCCAAGCACAGTCTGTCCCTATTCTGTACTTCCAGGCCCATCTCGTACTTCCCCCTCGCTCCACCCTTCATTCCCGCTAGATCACGCACTGTTTCCTGAACACGCTCGGCGTCTGGCATTTGCTTGGCATTTGCTGTTCACGCTGTTTCTTTCATTTGGAATCTTCTCCCCAGCCTGGACCCTACTTGTTGAAATCTTACCTACACCTTTAAGCCCAAGTAACATTTTCTTCAAGATTCCTTCTTTGATTTCTCATCTAGAAATCCTCTCTTTATCCTCCGAGGTTCTGTAGTAGTGTGGAAATTTCTCTGACAATGTATTAGACCCATATCTTCAATTCAGGGAGCTGTTTGATTGCAAGTTTTTGAAGGACAGAGATGATCTTGTGCATCTTTTGATACCCGGCAATGCCATACAGCACCTTGTCCTTTGAATATGCTGCTACTTCATTATTAATTATTAATGATTGCATTAATAAATGAATAGCCAACGAATCCATACTGTAATGGGAATGAGTCTTTCTGTTAGAAAATATTTTTACAATTTATTGGAAACATTTTTTTTTTGAAACAGAGTTTCACTTTGTTGCCCAGGCTAGAGTGAGTGCCGTGGCGTCAGCCTAGCTCACAGCAACCTCAGTCTCCTGGGCTCAAGCAATCCTCCTGCCTCAGCCTCCAGAGTAGCTGGGACTACAGGCATGCGCCACCATGCCCGGCTAACTTTTTCTCTATATATATTAGTTGGCCAATTAATTTCTTTCTATTTTTATAGTAGAGACAGGGTCTCACTCTTGCTCAGGCTGGTTTCGAACACTGGACCTCGAGCAATCTGCCCGCCTCGGCCTCCCAGAGTGCTAGGATTACAGGCGTGAGCCACCTCGCCCGGCCTATTGGAAACATTTAAGCGGAAGGAATGATTATATTTAAACCTGTCTGTGGGAAAAATGTTTTTGAATAGGCTGACCTTTTAGTCTCTAAACACACTAAAAAGAGCCAAGTTATTTCTTTCACTCTTCTATAAGATCAGCCTTGCTTATTAAACCTTGAGCCTCCATAAATACGAAATGAGACCAATTTCATGCCATTTTAACATTATTAATAATGTCTAAAAAATAAAAACATAATCAGTAAAGACTGAAGGTGTTTGTGTGTGTGTGTCTCAGAGAAAGAGCCAACAGCAAACCGACAACAGCGGCTACTGTGGGCAAGACGGTAGCCTTGGGTGTGTGGAAAGGATTTTTACTGTTATTCTGTGTGTTTCTGAATTGTTTTCATAGTTTTGTAAAGAGTGTATATTGAATATTATGTGTTAAATAGAAAAATGGTAATTTTTCAAAGAATTCTCAGCCTACCAGGCGCTATTTGTGTGATGTCTTAGCTGTCAAACTGCCTTCAAGGAGTTCACAGCACGGCACTCCCTTGGCACTTCCAAGAAATGGAGAGAGTACAAATTTCGCTCAATACTTTTCAAATTATGCTCTCTGTTTTTATTTTTGGAAATGTTACCAGAGTAAGAAAATAAATATATCTATGAGAGTAAAAACGTATTTGGATGGTAAATAATATAGAAATAAGGGGAAAGCATGGAAAAAGTAGTTGTGTAACTTTTTTTATGTCATTATAAACTCCTCATGTAAAAAATTTGCAATCTAAAAATCAATTGATTCATAGGCATAAGATCTAAAAAAACTAGAACTAAAATCAGTAAAGCTATTAAAATATTTAAATAATTCTTTGAGAATCAAGTTAACATAATTAAAGAACATCTGGAAGGCTAGGAGATTTAAAGACTAGAAATTAAAAAGCAAATGGTATGCTTTGTGCCATCGAGGGGCTTCAGCTGATGGACATAAACCCACTTGAAAATAAATACAGAGTTTGTGTCATTATGACGAGCCTGGAGACGGGTAAGGGTTTCCGTGTCTCCTGGGAAGTGTGCCGAGTCAGAAACCCAACCCAAAGCGAGGGGGCTGTGAAGACACTGTCTCCTGTGGCGCAGAACTCCAGAAGAGAACAGACCTACCGATCGTCTGCCTGGCGGGCTCCACGTCTGCCGTGGCCTCCTCCAGCAAGGCCAGCAGCTCGGCTGACATCCGGTGCACGGCTTCGATGTTGCCGAACAAGCTGTCCACGTCCAGCCTGTCAATCTGAAGAGACAAACACTGAGTGCCAGCGGACGGAGAGAAAGGCGCCGGGGGAAGTTTCCTCCTGCTGAACAGCAAGTGTTCTATATGCCAGCCCATGCCGCCTCCATCAGCCCTTGCCGTAAACATTCTCACCGAGGGTTTCTAGAGTCCAGATTTCCATCTAGGAGACGGGACGGTGCTTCTGTTACCTCTGTCTCTTTCTTTATTTGGAATATGTTTTGAGTTGAATGTACATCTACATATTCCTCTAAGAACCAGAATGAGAAGAAGACTTGGGCCTGACTGGTGTTTTCATTAACTGCCCTCTATAAAGGTATTACCAGTGTGTAAGAATTTGAATACTTTACTGCTTATACAGCAGAAATCAGACCTTACCCTAGGCAAGTAACTATTTTCAAAGCTATTTTTAAGCCTCTGATGTTCAAAAAGTGATGACAAGTAGAAGTGCTGGTTTGCTTCATGTTTTTTTTCTTGAAATAAATACAAATGGAAATCTTCATCAGACATATTCTACTAATTAAGGATTTGTCATATTTTGTAATTTCATGCACATACTCAACGACCAGTGTAATCATTATTAGATCTTATAGATGGAACTTATAATAATATATTTATTCATTCACCCATTCTTTCATCAAATATTTCCTGAGCACCTACTATGTGCCAATAATTATAATGGAAGCTAGACTCTGTCTAGGTAGTGGGTGATTAGCAGATGGACGACCGAACACCCTCAGATGACTATCAGTGAGATTTGTGCTCTGATTTTGCCGGATCTTATTTAAAATGTTTACCCTGGGTTTAACTCAGATCTTCCATAATCAAATCGTGTCTGGCTGGGGCATGACCACATTGGGCAGACTCCGCTGGGTGACAGCCAGGCACTGGCTTGGGCTCCTTTCACTCCTGACCTGCTGTGCACGAGCTCACAGGTGGCAAGTAAATCGTCAATAATCAAGCTAGGGAGGAGCTTCCAAAGTAAAAAGCAGAGTTGCTGGAGTAAAGCCAGATCATCAAAATTAGGGGTGAGAGAGAGATAAGGAGTCCAGTTAAAGAAGAAGGGACAAAAAATTAAGGAAAATTAGGAAGAAGGGATATGCAATAAGGGACAGAGCTGGAGGAATCCTGGAGATAAATGCCAACAATCGCAGCTTCTTTCCCACCTTTCAGAATCGGTTTCCAAGGGCGTGTGCTGGGGCCAGTTATGGGGAAGGAAGGAGGCAACCTGCACACCTTTTTATCTCGTTCTTCTTTGACATTGGCTCATCTGTTGTTCCCCATATTGGACCTGTATTATTTTGGTAAGCATCTTCTGCCATTGAATTTGGAAGCATAACCTCAGGTTGCACCATTTTAAAATGTGGTGACAGTTGTCTGTGGTTGGTTATTTCCCATGCAATATGTTTTGCTATGCACATTTCTTTCAGCTGTCTTGGGAGATTCCGCACTTTGCTATCATCAGTCCTGTTTTCAAGATAACTCCCAGCTTCATTTGGAATTAAATCTATATGACTGTATGCAATGGATAACTTCAATATAGAATTAGACAACTTTTTAATTTTTTATAGCCTCAAGGACTGTGAGACAGACACTTTTTTATGTATTCTAAAATTGTCTGTATCTCCATACTAATTATTATGCTGCAATCACTATTAGCTCTTAGGATCTTTAATCCAGTGTCTCAAAGAATGTTCCTTCCTTAAGCGCTCACTTTAATAGGAGAGGGCACATGTGGCTCTTCTGCCTGAAATCTAGGGATGTTCAAGACTTCCAATTTCTGTATTATAAAGTATACTTAATATGATACAAAATATCTAAAAAGCACATAAAAGCTATATGGCTCTTTTTAATTATTTAATGATAAATTATTAGCTAATCAACTTATAAAATGATCATTTAATGATCATTTATCATTATCAATGGCTCAATAGTCACACATTTCTGAGTACTACTGATTTAATGCATTATTTATTCTCAAGAATAAATAACAGTGGGTATTAATTAAATCCACAAAAGTATAACATTGCATAGTATAAGATGTTTTCCAAAAGTTTTATATGAATCAAATTTTTATAAATTGATTTATTTTAAATGTACTGGTTGTGTATTTCTTCAAATAATTTTTGAAATGAAGTTTTTAATATATAAAATTTCATGCCTTAGTTTATTTACTTTATAAGATAAATCATCTGATGTAATTCACACAGTGTATTCCCATTATTATTTCATTTTTTTGTGGAAACTTAATTCTGAGTAACTTGAAGTATTTCGTTTTTATCACTTCATATATTACTCCAACTTCTCTGTAGAGTATGGGCCGTTTTGAAGATAGGGACAATAATGCAGAGTGAAGAGAGGTGCCATGCGCCAAATTTTGCAAGAAGTTCAAGATGAAGCTAGAATCAGAAATTGACCTTTTATACTCCAGTTAAAAAAAAAGAAATTGACCTTTTAGTTCTATGCCTTAGTCCATACCCAGAAAATACCAACAATACAGTACTCTGCTATCTCTGTTTTGATTTTTGTCTTTTTCTTAAGGTTTTCGCTAAGTTGTCACTTCTACAATGTATTTCCCCAGGGTCAGTATCCTGCACATCTGTCTGATTTAGATTATGAATCCATTAGGCAATGCGCTAACTCTACATTTTATCTCTAATCTTAGCTTGGTGCAACAAATACTAAGTAACAAAAACATAGGTTTTAATTCCATTTCTTCCTGAAGGACAGAGAGGATTAAAACATCAATTGGCCTGGTTTCAATCGCCCGTACCACCGTGTTCCCATGGGGATTGTGTGAACCATAAAATGAATTCATATTCAGTCACTGCTATGCCCAGGAACAAATAAATGCCTGGTCTAAATAGGCTTTTAAAACTGATAGATGATTTTATGATTACTGATATAAATTCAAGGAAGCATCTCTCTATATTTATTAATCATTTACTAAAAACAGGCAGTGTTCTAAAAGCTTGAGTTAAATTGTATTTTAAATGGATTAAAATTCATTTTTTGAAAAAAGACGGTCTAAGTACACATTAGTCTAAGCCAAGTCAATACATAATAATTCAAACTTACAAAACACAAAAACTAAAAGTCAGTGTTCCCATTGACAATTTAATTTGTTGCTCTACAAAAATACTCACCATAGGATATACTAAAATGGCAAGTTCCCATTACATTTAAATAATTACTAGATTTTGAAATCAGGTAGTGTAATGCCTCCAAGCTTTATTCTTTTTCCTCAAGATTGCTTTGGCTATTTGGGGTCGTTTGTGATTCATACAAATTTTAAACTTTTCTATCATATTTCTGTGAAAAATGTCATTGGAATTTTTATAGAGTTTGTGTTGAGTCTATAGATTACTTTGGGTGGTATGGACATTTTAACAATATTAATTCTTCCCATCCCATGACCACAGCATATCTTTCTATTTATGTGTGTCTTCTTCAAATTATTTCATCAGTGTTCTATAGTTTTCTGTGATTTCAAAATCTACTTCAAAGGTATAGTAATCAAACCAACATGGGACTGGCATAATAACAGACACATACACCAACGGAACAGAATAGATATCCCCAAAATAAATTCATACATTTATGGTTGATTGATTTTGACAAAGACATCAAGACAACACAATGGGAAAGGACAGTCTCTTCAATAAGTGGTGCTGGGAAAACTGACTATTTGCATGTGGAAGAATGAAATTAGACCTTCATCTCACACCATAGACAAAAATCAACTCAGAATGAAGTAAAGACTTAAACATGAGCCCTGAAACTATAAAATTACTATAAGAAAACATAGAGTGAAAGCTCCATGACATTGATCTGGGCAATGATTTTTTGGATATGATCTCAACAACACAGGCAACAAAAGCAAAAATAGACAATTGGGATTATATCAAACTAAAAAGCTCCTACAGGGCAAAGAAAGCAATCATCAAAGTGAACAGACAACCTAGGGAATGGGAGACTATATCTGCAAACTATATATCCAATAAGGAGTTAATATACAAAATATATAAGGAATTCAAACAACTCAATAGTAGGAAAGCAAATAACCCAATAAAAAATGGGCAAAGGATCTGAATAGACACTTCTCAAAAGAGGATACACAAATGGCCAACAGGTATATAAAAAATGCTCAATGTCACTAATTATCAGAGAAATGCATATGAAAATCACAATGAGATATCACTTTGCGCTTGTAAGAATGACTATTATCAAAAAGATGAGAGATAACAAGTGTTGGTGTTATTAGTCAGCCATTATGGGAAACAGTATGGAGGTTTATAAAAAAATTAAAAATAGAACTACCATCTGATCTAGCAATACCACCATTGGGTATATATCCAAAGGTACTGAAATCAGTATGCGGAAAAGATGTCTGCTCTTCCATGCCCAAGCAGTGTGTTATTCACAATAGCCAAGATCAGAAATCAACCAGAGTGTCCATCAGCAGGACAATGGATAAAGAAACTATGGTATTCATACACAATGGCATACTATTCAGCCTTAAAAAAGAAGGGAATCCTGTGATTTGCAACCACATGGATGAAACTGGAGAACATTATGCTAAGTGAAATAAGCCAGGCACAGAAAGACAAACACCACAAGATCTCACTTATATGAGGAGTGTAAAAAAGTCCAACTCATAGGAATACAGAAAATGGTAGTTACCAGAGGCTGGTGGATGGCAGGATTGGGGAGATGCTGGCCAAAGGACACAACATTTAAAGAATAAGTACAACAGAGCTATTGTACATCATGGTGACTGCAGTTAATAGCAATATATTATATACGTGAAAATTGCTAAGAAAGGAGATTTTAAGTATTCTCACAATAAAAAAATGCTAAGTATGTGAGGTAATACATATGTGAAGTAGCTTGATTTAGCCATTTTACATATATACACACATATATATCTCAAAACATCATATTGTTCGTCATAAATATATACAATTTCTACTTGTCAGTTAAAAACAATTTAGAAGTATTAC